ACCCCAGGCTTCCCGGTGAAGTGCCACTATTTGACCCACTAGATGAGTGGGAAACATCTTCTTCCTGGACAGGCTGGCCTTGGGACCTAGTCTGTGCCTTTTTCCCATGAATGCATCCAGGTTGAAGGGTTGAGGGGCCAGTCACCCCAAAAGCCTGGTCCAGCCCAGCAGCATGTCTAGCCACCCTGTGGGGAGAGGGTGTGCCTCCTCCCTGCTTTCACAGAAATCATAAGGAAAAAAAATTAGAAAGGACCTTATAAGGAACCATTGAGTGACATTCCAAAAAATAATCTTCAGCATGAAACCTAAAGTCATAAAGAGAAAGAGTGATAATACAGTCGGCCACATAGAGACAAAAATGTTCTGTACAGCTGTGTTGAACACTGATGATAAGTCAGTAAGGAGAAAATATTGCCAGCCTAGATGTGAAAGATTGATATCCCCAATATTCAAAGTTTATGTAARCCCATAAGAAAATATGGTTCACATAAAATATGAATCTATAAAAATTTAAAGCAAAATATGATCCATTAGAGACATTAAAAAGAATGAGAAAGATAATCTCCTGGATGAAATAATTGATGAATAAGTTTACATAAAAACGCTGAGCCTTACTAGAAATCGAGAGAGAGAGATTTAAAAAAAAATAAGATCCCATTGTGGTAAGCAGAACAGTAACCCCCAAGAGAGCCACCTCCCAATTCCTGGAGCCTGGCTTGCCTGTCATGACYATGGGACTGTGGTTGTAATTAAATTGAGGACCTCACGAGGGATTATCCTGGATGAATCCAACAGAATCTAAAAAAAAGCACAGTTGATAGAGAGAAGCAGAGAAGTCAGGATTAGAATAACTCAGTATGAAAGGATGTGGCTTTGAAGATGGAAGGGAGCCACCAGCCTCTAGAATCCAGAAGCAGCTCTGCAGAGGTGCCGCCTTCCAGAGACCAACATCACACTCCAACCCAGGATGAGTTAGTGTATTTGTTCAGCTGCACCAAGGGACYAAGTAGCTGGTTTCAACAGATGGAAGATGTATTTCTGTCTGAGGCCGATGYCTTGGCTTCACATCGTCACCCAGTCTTATCCCACCATGCCTTCGGGTAACGCGCTTGACTGTGTGATCAGCATTCACTCACCACCACCCCATGGTGATCCTTCYTGAGAAAATGGGCAAATGGAAGGCAAGCGCTTGACCTGCTGGCCATGACCTAGAAGTTGCATACAGCACCTTGGCCAGAACTAGCTGCAAGGGAGGCTGGGAAATACAGGCTCTGGCTGGGCGGCCATAGACCCAGCTGAAGCTCAGGTAGAGTTTTGCTTTCATTTTGGTTTTGTTTTTAGTAACCTAGGTCCTCCTGCAGACCAGGCCAGTGCTCTACCACTGAGCCACACCCCCAGCGCTCAGGTGGACTTTGATGACTAAAAGGAAAGACAAATAGCTAGTCATGTTTCCCATTCCCAGCCAAGGACCCAACCTCAGCCTTGGCCACTCTCTTTGCCTAGACTTTGCTCTAAAGCTCCCTGACCACTTCTCCCTGTGTCTCTCTAGAACCGTGTCCTCCTGTCTGCCCTGTATTGCCACCGTCTGAGCCTGTGGCCATTTTTGCTTTTCTTTACAGGTGAAGAGTTGGGTCTTGCACATGAACACACACACAGTATTGCATACAGAGGAGACACTGGTTTTGTTGTTGGGTTGTTAAGTAAGAATATTAACTGCTACCTCCAATCCAGCCTGTGGCCCTGTTCCCTGGGTCCCCAGCTGTCAGAGTTAGGAGGAAGATTTATTTTCCTGGCATTTTGAGATCAATATGCTTTATTACTGTCAGTAAAATTTTTAAACAGATTTTGGATCTTGGGAGATAAATATATATGTCAGTAAATTACAATTAAAGAACTTTGTTCAGACCCACCATTCTGGGGTCAGATTGATCTAACAGTGACCTGGGCATGGGGCCCCTGTCCCCATCTTGGCACAGCCTTATCTTACTTGGCAAGTGGCCCAAGCTCCTCAGCCTAGAGCCGGAGGCACAGTCCAGCTGGTCTCCTGCCGGGTCTGGTGGCATTGTCCACCTGATAGAGCCCARCTCCCAGCTCCACCTCCTACAAGCCCCAGGGTGTCTACTCTGGGCTCTGGTCCTGTGGTACCAATGCCTGGTTGCAGGAGGCGATTTATAGTTTGGCTTTGGGCCTAGACCACCTTGCCTTGAGTCTGTCGGCTCCTCCCCCAAGGCCTTTGTGGCTCCAGCCCTAGCAAGCCCTGCCCTCTTCCTGGTTGGGCTATTCCAATGGCTAGGCCTATGGAAGCTTCTGGAACCTTCTGGAAATGACCTGGTATGTTAACCAGTTGGTGGTTGAAGCTCAAGTTCTCCTCATGGTCATCAGCAGTCTTCTAAGCTGCAGCTCTCTGGGGGCTGTGGCCTCAGTGGCAGGCCATGTGGACCCTGCAGCCATTCTGACATCATCAGCAAAGGACAACCATCCTTTATGGACTGGGGTTCAGACCCCTGTTGGCCTGAAAGGGAAACCTCAAGGTTCTGACCCCATGTCTCTGGTGGCTTTTTTTTTTTTTTTAGTTGTAGATAGACACATACCTTTAGGTTGTTTATTTATATTTATGTGGTGCTGAGGCTTGAACCCAATGCCTCGCATGTGCGAGGCAAGCGCTCCACCACTGAGCCACAACCCCAGCCCCTCTGGTGGCTTTTATAAGTGATCTTTCATAGGTGACCCTGGAGAAGCAGAGTTTTCTTTGTCATTCAGGCTTATATTAAAATTTCACACACAGTCTCAGAATCTCAGAAAGCAGGAAAGACTGATTTTCTTGGTGTCTTGGTCACAGTGGCAGCGTGGTCTTCCTGAAGGAGTTAAAGAGGTAGTAAACACCCGCTTGGGCTGCAACTGAAGGGCAGCACACCCCAAGGCCTWAGGTGTTGCAGTTTCTCCAGCGTCTGCACCTGCACCCCCGCTGCCCCTCCCATGGCCCGAGTATCAAGTGACTTGCATTTGTCATGCTATGGTAGAGCACAGTGGCAGAGAGCACTGGCCCTGGGGTAAGAGGACCAGCGTGGCCCTGGGCCGGTCATTCCCACTACATCCCAGGTGCCCTGTCTGCAGAATGTAGGAGGGATTTGGCTGCTAACCTTTGCTGAATTGTGATCTTCCATTAACAAAGATCAATTACTGCATTTGCTAGAGGGATATCACTGAAGACACAGATGAGCTCCTGCATCATTACTGCCCCTGACTGAAGTGCCACATATAAAAATTTCATTTTAAGCAAGCTTTTTCTTCCTGTAAGGAATTTAGATCATTGTTCCCCTCTGGCTGTAAGCACTCWGTAATGGACCACATCTCTCTTTTCCCCTTGGCTGTCAGGGAGCTCATGTGTAGCTGAACTATAGAAACCTTAGGATTGGTATCTCGGTGTTCTTTTTATCCCACCAATCCTAACTTCCTGCTCTATTTACATTTTCTCGGTTCTAATTTGTTATCTTTATTACAGTTTGTCATTCTTCTACGAATGTGATGTAATAGTTACCTTGAATTCTTTGTAGAACCAAGACAGAATGAAAAAGGAGAACATTTATAGGGTACAATTTTTACTAAAAAGATCAAGTCATCTGCCCTCCTTAACCTTGTCATGGGGCTGAAATCCTGCCATTTCAGAGACAACTCTCTGAGACTTAGAGACTTGTTCATCTGAGCAACTCCAGAAAGGGCCAGGAGTGAATGTCTCACTTCTGTGTCAGCAAATGGGAGATGAAAAGCAAGACAAGGACATAGGGCGCCCGGGGCAGGTTGCCCGGGGCAGTACACGCTTACAGCAGAAGAAAGTGCAGAAGCACTGCTCATCCACCCAGGGGCTCCCCGGGGGACAGGCACCTAGGAGGGACGAGGGACCAACTCYAGCTGTGACAACTTGCTGCTTAGAAACATCAGACTTTAAATAGGACTTTCATGGCCCTCAGTGTTCCCAACTGGGAAGTCATGTGATTGAGCGTGACAGACTCACAGTGGCCTCCAGCTTCAAAATTCCAACCTGGCCCTGGTCAGAAGGGACCTGAGATGCACTCAGGACCCAGGGAGCCTAGACAGCCTGATTTTCGGCTAGCCTGGGAGGATGCTCTCACTTGGGAGTCCATTCAGACCACCAGACCAACTCTGTCCCTGCAATTGGCAAAGGCCTTCATTCTTAATGAGTTCCAGAGTTTCCCTGGGACTGACTGGGCATGAAAAGGCTCCAAAACTGGAGGAACCTTCCAAAACGCTCTCCCTGGGGATCGTCTGGATCAGTCAGGTGGTCTCAGGTGTGTGGAGTGGGAGTTCCCATGAGCTACGGCAGTAGTTGGCGGCTTCTCGTTGAAGCACAGGGCTGGGAGTGGGTTCTCAAGGGCATAAAAAGCAATGATGTCTCTCTCTTTTTCTCTTGTGGACACTTTCATATCTAGGGCTAGAAAGAAAGATTCACAAGAGAATAATCCTCCTCTTGGGAAACTTACACCTGAATAACCCATGGGCACTTCCTCCTGTGCCAGGCCTAGCACAGCCCAAAATTCATCCAACAGCATCCACATCCATGACCTTGCTGGGCCCACGGCATCCCCAGGGTGCGGTGAGGCAGGAAATGCTGTTGTCTGTTTTATAGATTGGGCAGTGGAGGCTCAGAGAGCTCCAGCCCACTCAGAATGGGTCCACAAAGCAGGACAGGCTTCCTGACCCCGACTGCCCTGCCATTCCCAGAACCTGCCCTACCTTCAGCCCCAACGACCCACACAGCCACCATGTCACCAGCACACTGGCATCAGCTGCAGAGGCGGGTGAGGGGAAGATGGGCAGCGCTTGTGCACGTGGAGTTAGGCTGGAGCTCTCTGGCTGATCTTGGAGGGGCCTCCGTGGGTTTTGACACTGAGTCTGAGTGGCCCAGGCCGTGGGGACACACCACAGTAACTCTGTCTTCTCTTTTGTGTGTGTGTTTCTGTGCGTGCGTTTTTGTTCCGTAGAAGAGTCTGACTTCTCCTCCGAGGCCACCGATCACCAAACACGGGACAAAGGAGAGAGGAAGCCAGGACGGAGCTGCCCCCAGCATCCAGTGTGGCGTCTCTTGGGCTGGCACCAGGGATGACTGGGCCATGGACACAGACGTCTCCCACCTTCAGCCATTCGCATAGCACACGGGGGACTYGTGGGGGCCACTTGCCACTGCCCACCGGCACAACACAATGGCAATACTGACATCCCCCGTGACGTTTTCACRACAGACATTCAGGCAGGAAGCGCCGGTGTGCTTTCTGTCTGCCAAGTAGAGGGCCATGCCTCACCCAGAGGAGTAGCTTGGGCCCCAGTGACCTGCTCTGAGTCCACTGGCAGCCAGTGACACTTGCAAAAAAAAAAAAAAAAATCTCCCAAAGCCGTCTCAGGGTGGGCTTCTGCAGCTTTTGACCAATGTGGCCAAAGCTGGACGCCTCCTCCGGACACTTGGATTCTTCRTAAATGCAGCCTGCCCCACCCTCCCTGAGTAGCATCTGAGGTCTCCGCGAAGGTCATGGATCCTGAACAAAGCATCAAGGGCACCAAGAAGGCTGAGGGAAGTCCCCGGAAGCGGCTGACCAAAGGAGAGGCCGTTCAGACCAGTGTTTCCTCCAGCGTCCCCTACCCAGGCAGCAGCACAGCTGCCCCCCAAGAGAGTGCCCCCCAGGAGCTCCTAGCCCCGCAGCCCTTCCCCGGCCCCTCGGCAGTTCTTAGGGAAGGCTCTCAGGAGAAAACGGGCCAGCAGCAGAAGCCCCCCAAGAGGCCGTCCATCGAAGCCTCCGTCCACATCTCCCAGCTTCCGCAGCACCCTCTGACACCAGCATTCATGTCGCCGGGCAAGCCGGAGCACCTCCTGGAGGGGTCCACGTGGCAGCTCATTGACCCCATGAGACCTGGGCCCTCGAGCTCCTTCGTGACACCTGGGCTCCACCCGCAGAGCCAGCTCCTCCCTTCCCACGCTTCCATCCTCCCCCCTGAGGACCTGCCTGGCATCCCCAAGGTCTTTGTGCCCCGTCCCTCCCAGGTGTCCCTGAAGCCCACGGAAGAGGCGCACAAGAAGGAGAGAAAGCCCCAGAAGCCTGGCAAGTACATCTGCCAGTACTGCAGCCGGCCCTGCGCCAAGCCCAGCGTGCTCCAGAAGCACATCCGCTCGCACACGGGCGAGAGACCCTACCCCTGCGGCCCCTGCGGCTTCTCCTTCAAGACCAAGAGCAACCTCTACAAGCACAGGAAGTCCCATGCCCACCGCATCAAAGCCGGCCTGGCCTCGGGCGTGGGCGGCGAGATGTACCCGCCAGGGCTGGAGATGGAGAGGATCCCYGGGGAGGAATTTGAGGAGCCCACCGAGGGAGAAAGCACAGACTCCGAAGAGGAAACTGGCGCCACGTCTGGGCCCCCCACAGAGCTCCCCGCCAGGCCTAAGCACCCCCTCCTCTCCAGCAGCTTGTACAGCTCCGGAAGCCACAGTTCCAGCCACGAACGCTCCTCCCTGTCCCAGTCCAGYGCAGCACCGTCGCTGGAGGACCCGACTCCCTTTGCAGAACCCTCATCGGAGCATCCCCTGAGCCATAAGCCGGAAGACACCCACACCATTAAGCAGAAGCTGGCCCTCCGCCTGAGTGAGAGGAAGAAGGTGATTGATGAGCAGGCGTTTCTGAGCCCAGGCAGCAAAGGCAGTACTGAGTCTGGGTACTTCTCCCGCTCCGAGAGCGCTGAACAGCAGGTCAGCCCCCCAAACACCAATGCCAAGTCCTATGCGGAGATCATCTTCGGCAAGTGCGGACGGATTGGCCAGAGGACCGCCATGCTGACCGCCACCTCCACCCAGACCCTCYTGCCCCTGTCCACGGAAGACAAGCCCAGCCTGGTACCTTTGTCTGTGCCCCGGACACAGGTGATCGAGCACATCACGAAGCTCATCACCATCAACGAGGCTGTGGTGGACACCAGCGAGATAGACAGCGTGAAGCCCAGGAGRAGCTCTCTGACCAGGCGCAGCAGCATGGAGTCCCCCAAGTCCAGCCTCTACCGGGAGCCCCTGTCGTCCCACAGTGAGAAGACAAAGCCCGAACAATCACTGCTGAGCCTCCAGCACCCACCCAGTACCACCCCCCCTGTGCCCCTCCTGAGAAGCCAGTCTATGCCTTCGGCCACCTGCACCCTCAGTACCCCCCACCACACCTTCCGAGGTAGCTACTCCTTCGACGACCATATCACCGACTCTGATACCCTGAGCCGCAGCAGCCCAGTGTTTACCTCCCACCCCCGGATGCTGAAGCGCCAGCCTGCCATCGAGCTTCCTCTGGGAAGCGAGTACAGCTCTGAGGAGGCTGGACCAAGTAGCAAAGACGCAGCCTCCAAGCCCTCCGACGAACCGGAACCCAAGGAAAGTGAACTCACCAAAAAGACCAAGAAGGGCTTGAAAACAAAAGGGGTCATCTATGAATGTACCATATGTGGTGCTCGGTACAAGAAAAGGGAYAATTACGAAGCCCATAAAAAGTACTACTGCTCAGAGCTTCAGATCACCAAGCCCCTCTCTGCAGGTGCTCACGCATCCTCCGAAGCCGAGAAGAGTCCATCRGAACACGAGCCGTGGTCCCAGATGATGCATTATAAACTGGGGGCCACCTTGGAACTCACTCCACTGAGGAAGAGGAGGAAGGAGAAGAGTCTTGGGGATGAGGAAGAGCCGCCTACCTTTGAGTCAACAAAAAGTCAGTTTGGCAGCCCCGGGCCRTCCGACGCCGCTCGGAACCTTCCCCTGGAGTCCACCAAGTCACCAGCAGAACCAAGTAAATCAGCGCCCTCGTTGGAGGGACCCACGGGCTTCCAGCCTCGGACTCCCAAGCCAGGGTCCAGTTCAGAATCAGGGAAGGAGAGGAGAACAACGTCCAAAGAAATTTCTGTCATCCAGCACACCAGCTCCTTCGAGAAATCCGACCCTCTCGAGCAGCCCACTGGCCCGGAAGGGGAAGACAAATCTCTGGCCCAGTTCTCGTCCCCGCCACCTGCCCCGCACGGACGCCCGGCGCATTCCCTGCCACCCAAGCTGGTCCGCCAGCCCAACATTCAGGTTCCAGAGATCCTGGTGACYGAGGAGCCGGACCGGCCTGACACAGAACCCGAGCCACCTCCTAAGGAACCCGAGAAGACAGAGGAGTTCCAGTGGCCCCAGCGCAGCCAGACACTGGCCCAGCTCCCAGCCGAGAAGCTGCCACCCAAGAAGAAGAGGCTGCGCCTGGCGGAGATGGCCCAGTCATCCGGGGAGTCCAGCTTTGAGTCTTCGGCGCCTCTGTCTCGAAGCCCGAGCCAGGAAAGCAGTGTCTCTCTGAGTGGGTCCAGCCGCTCAGCCTCATTCGACAGGGATGACCACGGGAAAGCTGAGGCCCCTGGGCCCTCATCTGATCCTCGCTCCAAACCCTTGGGCACCCATATGCTGACTGTCCCCAGCCACCACCCACATGCCCGAGAGATGCGGAGGTCAGCTTCYGAGCAGAGCCCCGACACTTCCCACTCTGCCCACGTGACTGAGATACGCAGCAAATCATTTGACTACGGCAGCTTGTCCTTGACAGGCCCTTCTGCACCAGCCCCAGTGGCTCCACTGGCTCCGGCGGCCCCGCCAGAGAGAAGAAAATGCTTTCTGGTGAGGCAGGCYTCTCTGAGCAGGCCTCCGGAAATGGAGCCAGAGGCCACCCCTAAGGGAAGACAAGAGAGTGAGGACCCACAGTCCTCATCCGGGAAACCTTCAACCAAAAGTTCGTTGCCCCAGATTTCCTCAGYGGCCACCTCGCACAGTGGGCACCCGGGAGGCAAGAGCCAAGTGCAGGACAGGACCCYGCTGGGGTCCACTCCACCCTTCACGGAAGCACTGCAGGTGCTGCACCACCCCGTGGCCCAGCTGCCCCTGCAGGAGAAACCATATCTGCCCCCACCTGTCTCGCTTCTTTCTTTCCAGCACCTCTTGCAGCACGAGCCAGGACAGTCTTCAGACTTCTTCTCCAGCCAGGCCATGTCCAGCCTCCTCTCCTCACCATACTCCATGCCTCCACTCCCTCCGTCCTTATTCCAAGCCCCACCACTTCCCCTCCAGCCTACTGTTCTGCACCCAGGCCAACTCCATCTCCCCCAGCTCTTGCCTCATCCAGCTGACATTCCCTTCCGGCAGCCCCCTTCCTTCCTCCCCATGCCATACCCGGCCTCCTCAGCACTCTCTTCTGGGCTTTTCCTGCCTCTGCAATCCCAGTTTGCACTGCAGCTCCCTGATGTGGAAAGCCACCTGCCCCAGATCAAAACCAGCCCAGCTCCACTGGCGACAGCAACTCCTGGCCCCTCCTGCAGCACAGGGTACAGCAGTGACATCCACTTGCCCCCTGCAGCTCCCCCAGCCAGTTCCTCGGCACCCACATCAGCCCTGCCGCTGGCCCTGCCCGCCTGTCCAGACACCATGGTGTCCCTGGTTGTGCCCGTCCGCATTCAGACCAACACGCCRTCCTATGGGAGTGCAATGTACACCACCCTTTCTCAGATCTTGGTCACCCAGTCTCAAGGCAGCTCAGCAAGTGCACCTCTTCCCAAGAGTGAGGAGCCCTCATCCAAAGGGACAGCCGCGTGTGGGGCACACGTGTATGAGGCTGGGCCTGGACTGCCGGGCTTAAGTGAAGAGCAAAGCAGAGGTTTCCAGACTCCATACCTGAGAGTGCCTGTGACATTACCTGAAAGAAAAGGCACTTCCCTGTCATCAGAAGGTGCCTTGAGCCTTGAGGGGAGTTCCTCGACAGTGGGGGGAAGCAAACGTGTCCTTTCACCAGCTGGCAGCCTTGAACTTACCATGGAAACCCAGCAGCAAAAAAGAGTGAAGGAAGAGGAAGCTTCCAAAGCAGATGAAAAACTTGAGCTGGTAAAACCATGCAGTGTTGTGCTGACCAGCACTGAGGGTGGGAAGAGGACAGAGAAATCCCATCCAGGAAGCCAGGGCCAGGGCAGGAGGGAGCTAGAAACACTGGCCAGCCTGTCCTCAGATCCATCTGACCCCAAGGAAATTCCTCCCCTCTCTCACTCCACATTGTCCCATGGGACAGCCCCAGGCTCAGAAGCTTTGAAGGAATATGCCCACCCATCTGGGAGAGCTCATCGAAGAGGGTTGCCCCCACTGAGCGTGAAGAAAGAAGATTCCAAGGAACAACCTGATCCCCCTCCCCTGGCTCCTCCCAGCTCTCTGCCTCTGTCAGAAACGTCCCTCAGACCTGCCAAGTCACAAGAAGGTACGGACTCAAAGAAGGTACTGCAGTTCCCCAGCCTCCACACGACCACTAATGTCAGTTGGTGCTATTTAAACTACATTAAGCCAAATCACATCCAGCATGCAGATAGGAGGTCCTCTGTTTACGCTGGTTGGTGCATAAGTTTGTACAACCCCAACCTTCCGGGGGTTTCCACTAAAGCTGCTTTGTCCCTCCTGAGGTCTAAGCAGAAGGTGAGCAAAGAGACATACACCATGGCCACAGCTCCGCATCCTGAGGCAGGAAGGCTTGTGCCATCCAGCTCCCGCAAGCCCCGCATGACAGAGGTAAGTTCAGCATTGTTCTTTTTTTCACCACTGAGTGCTAAAGACCTTGTTGAGCTTTTAAAGCCACACTGTCTTCAGGTTCCATGTGTAGAACTAGAACTGAGGGGGAAGATTTCCTCTCTGACAGCTGTGACTGGTCACCTTATAAGGAAATATGTTTATTGGGTCTCTTTATCAGTGTGTTCTGTTCATGATTGGAATGGATACATTTCAAGAAACTTGGCTGTAAAGCAACCCTGTTTCCCCTGGAGCTTCTACTATAAAATCAAAGATACAATTTCAGCAAGGAAAAAAATAATTCTAAAAGACTGAGTTGGACATTTGGTTGATGGTAAAGCCCCTAGCAGTTTCAGAACTTTGTAACATTTACTTACCTCATAGTTGTCCCTTGTCTTATTAGACTTTTCATATTTTTCATATTCATGATATCAAGGGCTCCAATTTACTCCCTCATTGCTTCTGACCTGCAGCTATATCAGAAGCTATGAAATTATATAAAGTTAACAGGTCCCCTGCACTTTTGGCAAGTTTGAAATATAATAATTCCAAATTTGAATTAGACAAAAGACACCACCAAACCTTAAAAAGGCTAGCCTGAGGATTTGGGCCATCTGTGATGTGTTGTCCTAACTTGGCACTTGTGAAATGAGAAATTGGTCTTGCTTGTTGAACAACCTCCCTGTACTACACCCTTGGATCCAGTCAAAGCTCACCTCCACCTGTGAGGCAGCATTGCCATCTCCATGCTCCATATGAAAGAACCAGGGTCAAAGGCTGAGATAGGTCAACAACACATGGCAAATGTTTAGCAAACCTGGAGTATTAACCCAGACCTGTCGGTCTCCAAAGAATCTATTTTTCTTCTTTTAATTCTTTGAGGAAAGAAACCTTAAAATATTGTTGCAAATTTAATGATGTTCACTAGTGTGTCCTCTGACCAGATGCTTTGATTGAATCAGGCATGGATTTTTCCCCTAATTAAGCTCCTATTGTAGATGGATGAGCAAAAGTATGGTCTATAACTTCCCACACGTCCATGCCTTCCTCCTGCACTGAATGGATTTTTTGCATTGGGTTTGTCCTCATCTCAACTGGATAATCTTCACAACTGTTTTCCAATTCATTTTCTATGTCTTTGTCAGTCTACAGACATCTCTGAGCAAAATTTCCTCTTTTACCATAAACAGCAGACTGATTTGCTCTCGCTGTCTCTTACTAGCTAGAGCTGCTGTCAAGATGCAGCTATAATTATACCTATAATATTGGGGGCACCTACTGTGTGCCAGGTATTATGCTAAACTTTACTTTTATCCTCACAACCACCTTGAAAGTTAGTGTGCAATATCACCATTTTATAGATAAATGCACCAAAGCACAGTGTTGGCATAACTTGAACAAGGTCATGTGGTAAATGGCAGGGACTGAATTCAAATCTGAGTCATACTCTGAAGCCCTCTCAGATGATCCACGCTGCCTCTGTTCCCTTATGTAGATTGTATAGGGTATTTATAAGAAAAATGAAGTATTAACTGGTTGAATTGGATTTGGCAATCAGTTGTTTATAATACTACTTTCCTAAAATGAGCCAAAAACCTGCAAACTTTTTCCTGGAATATGCTATTTGGTTCAAAGGCAGGTTTCCTACCAATCTGCACAATTAAAATAGTTGCATAGCTCATAGAACTGTGGGGATAATTAAATGAAAATTAAATGAGTTAAAATACGCAAAGTGTGTATACAACAGTGCTTAGCACATTGACACTCAGTAAATGTTTCTGACTGTACTTACTCATTATCATTGAAAGTTAAACGGAATTCCTGATTCCCTGCTCAGGTTGCCACCCAAACCAACCTCCTCTAGCTTAATCCAGACATCACCTCCCAATCTGAAAAGATTATATGGGGTCACTAGATTATATTAGTGGGTGCTAGAATGGATCTTTAGGATGATCCAACTTCCCCCTTCCCCAGACTCTGAGGCCTGGAGAAGTGAAGCAAATCCACCCTGGAGTAACTCAGCATGTGATGGCCTATCTGGTACTGGAATTCAGATCCCTGGTTCCCAGCTGGGTGCCTTTTTCCACAGTTCTACCAGCTCTCACCCCCAGTACAACATTGTTGCTCCCTACACAAGGGGGTACCCACCCCCTGCCATCCCTGGCAGGTAGAGAGAACATGTTCTTGAAATAATGGAAGATGTTGAGAAGCCGGAGGTCAGTGCCAACCTCCACACTGAACTAGGTCTCATTGAGGCCCATAACTCTGCAAAGAGAATGGATTCCCTTAGACCAACAGCCCAGAGCCTGCTCAGCCTCTCAGGCCTGGCTGGGGGGCGGGGGGGTCTGCTGATCAGTGTCACCTGGCTCCCAGCACTAGCTTTGGAGGACTGGGGTCCTAGAATCAGGAGACGTGTGCTCTGCTCCCAGCTCTGCCTTTTACTAGCTGTATAACCTTGGCTTTCTGATCTATTGGTGAGAACTGCAGCAGTTAATCTCCCGGGGTAGAGTGGAGGCTTCATTTATTTGTTCAACATTCTTTAAGCATCTCCTCTGAGGCCAACCTTGGTTTGGGTGCTGAGATGATCGAGGAGAACAAGATAAGGACCTGTCCCCAGGAGCTCCCAAACTAGTACAAGAGACACAAAGCAACCCAGCTCTGTGGGATGGTTAACCAGAAAGGCCAATCAGAGCCCCGGCGTGGGAGACCTGGCCTCTCTGGGGTGGTTGCCTTCATTCTGTCGCATGGGGCTGACAACACACGTCTGAGGGGAGGAGCAGTTCGGGGAGTCCACCTGCGTGTGGGTCGGTGCCACACAAGGGATTAGGACACTCCCAACTGAGAAGGAAAATTTAACCAGCTCTGATTTTGTCACCCTGCGGTGGGCCAGGTGCACCTCCCGTCGCTGGCTTCCCCGGAAGGCCAGAAAGAGCTAGCTAGAGTGGAGATGGAGGAGGAGAAGCGAGGGAAGCCGGAGGAGGACGCTCCCGCCCCCAAGAGAGGGGAGCCGGCAAGGATCAAAATCTTCGAAGGAGGGTAAGACTCACGCTCGGTTTGCAGCCTGMTCCCTGCGGAGTAAGAGCCTGCGCCCCCGGTGCGCGGAGGCGGCGGGMGTCTCACTGCAGGGCGGTGCCCACAGGAGCCCTGAGATTCCTGCGCTGACTTTGTGCAGGTGCCACCTTCACGGAACTTGCAGTTCGCCYCTGAGAACACCAGGGGGCGCCTTGGTGGGCACAAGCCACGCTGGGTGTTTGCTGAGGATCTGGAGGGGTCTGGTCTGGGTCTTTCTCCAGCCCTGATATTTCCTCAGCTCCTGGACGCGTTTCTAGCCCCTGTACAGGGGTGATAGTGAGCCTCCCAGCTCCCATCTCAGCTACACATCCCTTGCAGTGTGTTCCCCAAAAGTCACCTGCATCCTGCCCAGGCCACCCCCCTGGCATGCCCAGTTGCCCCCTGGGCATTTGGACTCTGCGCACAAGGCCAACTGCAGGGCGGAGAGCTGTTGCACCCACTGGCCTTTTACTCCCACTCCCGTTCTGACCGCCAGGGCCTGGGGCTCTGGTTTGGAGAGTTTTGAACGTCATCTCTGGTCATTGGCTTTTGGTGCATGGCTTTGAAGCCTGCTGCTCTACACATTTCAGAATTCACCACTGTGGGGACCTTCTGGGCTCTACAAGGGAGCCTTGCTTCAGACGTGCTCTGTGCAAGTGTTTTGTGCTGGCTGTGTTCTATGTGGCCACGTGTCTGCTCCCCCGGATGTGGGTGTCTGTGAGCAGGTGCCGTGGTGTCTGTCTCGGGGTCCTGTGTCTGTGTCCCTGGTGTGATCAGGTTGGCCCCCAGCCCTACACAGTCCTGAGGGACAACAGTGAGGAGGAAAACTGGCCTCCCGAGGGGTTGGTCCCCAGGCCTTGGCCAACAGGACTGTCACTGGCTCTGACTCTCCAGCACCTGCAAGTGCCTAACTCACCAGGTCAAAGTAGGGGGCACAGGAGTCCCCTAGAAGGTTGGTGGAGAGGAGCACAGAGATTGCCACCCTCCCCAAGGCCACACATAGGCATCTTCTTGTAGCCTAAGGGGTCCTTGGGACTGATGATTGGTTACCAGAGCGGTGGGGCAGGGGGCAGAGATGACACACATGCCCGCAGCATGCTGTCCCCAAGCCAGGAGTGGCTCCATCCAGGAACACTGGGTGTTTCCCAGTGCTGACCCTTCYAACTGGGGACAACTGTTTTCTGCTCCTGCCGTTTGGTTAGAGCGCCCTCGTGTGTCTCTGTGTTCTCATACACTGGGTCCTCCCAAGGGCACCGGGACCGGATCCCAGGATTGATTTATGCATCTGGTCCTAGGAACGTGCCCTCTTCCCTCCTGGTTGAAGGACTGTCTCTGGGGCTCTGGGGGGCAGTGTAGTGTTTGCTGGTGGACAGGGATCCTGCTTCTTCAAGGTATTCTGTATGTACTAAGAGGCAGGCACCTCCAGACCTGAGTCCTGGGTCATGGAGCCACCCCCTGCTTCCTGTATCCCTGGAGAAGGCCCAGCCTCTGGACAGGCAGCTGTTGGGAGCCTCTCCCTGTCCAGCTACCTCCTGGACATTGCTGCCTTTGGCTGAAAGTCATCCCCAAGTCCCTTCTCTTCTTGCAGCCCAGGCAATGTCCCCCTCCTCCTTCATGTCCCATGTAGGTTGACACTTCACCCCACCTGCTGTTCCAGAATCTCCCTGTCTTTTGAGGTTTGTCACCCCTGCCCCTGAACAGCGGTCCCACCTGCCTCTGTCTAGCCTTAGACCATCCCTCTCCCCACCTCTCCAATTCCCAGTGACCTTATCTGTGAAGGGGACAATAACATACCTGTGGTACCTGCCATAGGACCCTTGGGGCCAGTGGGAGAGGGTACCGTTCACAGGAGCGCAGGAGGGGCACGTGGGTGTGCTTCACTACAGCGTATGGCGCTCTTCATCTCCGTCCAGGGCGACCTCCCTCTACTGTGGGAACTCTCAACCCCGCTCCTCCAACTTGTCACKGCTGATCTGGGCACATGGGTTTATGTGGTGTCTCCCATCAGATCCTTCTCTCTTCCGAGCCAGGCTGTCCCACCTGAGTCCCCACTGTCCCCTGAGTCCCACCCTCACTTCTGGCGATCCTTTTCCTTTCTGGTTCTCCATGGGCAGTTGTCACCACCCCCAGGAGTAGTTACAAATGTCTGGGAGAAGGGGAAGGTGCTTTGGGTTGTTACCTGGGGGCACCAGTAACACCTCATCCATTCAGTCAGTCATGTGACCAAGTCCCTCCCAAGACATCAAGGCTACCCCTACCCCAGAAAGCTGAATGCATCCTTCTCCAGCCACCCGGGGTTTTGCCCTTGACTCAGTTCCTCCTACTTCTTTTTCTTTCTTTCCTTTAACACAACAAGCACCTATTTTTTCACTCCGGTTCATGGAGCAGAGTCTGCAGTGGGGCTTGTTCACTGGGTCCACAGGGGATTAGGGCCAGTGGAGTCCAAGAGAATAAGAAGGGAAGAGCTGTGTACTGTGCCTGGCTCCTAGAGCTTCCACCCAGGGGCTTATGCCAGGGTCCGTTGGCCAGAGCGAATCACGGGGCCTCATCTCCATTCTTGGGAGTCAGAAGTATGACTGCCCTTGTCCTTGGAGGGATCTGAAATCACTGGTAGGTAACCCTGACAGTGACTCCGCCTGTTTCACATGCGTCTGCAGCCTGTCCGTTTCACTCAGCGTAGCTTTTTGAGCTGTGTCCACATGCAGGCAGAGAAGTCTGGTCATGATGGTGAGTCCATAAGCCAGACCCACGTCCATCACACTCGCCTGCCTTACTTTGTTCTGATTTCTTAGTGATGATCTGCTGCTTTGAATTGTRCCCTGTCTCTACACCTCGGTCCTGGCCCTGGTTTTCTCTTTGGGAAAATATTTGTGTTCAGAAGCCACTCTTTATTGGGAAGGGTTCATGGGGCACKTGGGGGCAGAGTGCTCTGCTAGGGAGAATTCCAGGCCTCCCGTGGTCCAGGCAGACATGGCACTAGGTGGGTGTCTAAGTGTATTTTCTGAGAGGAGTGATTTGTTAAAAGTAGAGCTTTGTTTTGTTGTTTTGGTTTGGTTGGGGTACCAGGGATTGAACTCAGGGGCAACTCAACCACCAAGCCACATCCCCAGCCTKATTTTGTATTTTATTTGGAGTCAGGGTCTCACTGAGTTGCTTAGCACCTCGCTTTTGCTGAGGCTGGCTTTGAATTCACGATCCTCCTGCCTCAGTCTCCCAAACCGCTGGGATTATAGGCGTGGGCCACTGCACCTGGCAAAAGTAGAGTTTGATTGAGCCATGGTTCTGGTTGTCCAAGAGCATGGCACCAGCATCTGCTTGGGATCTGACAAGGGCCTTCTTGTCACATCATGACAAGTCAGAGGGTGTCACCTGGTGAAATCGAGCTCCTGACTCTTTTCCTTCATCTCCAATCCAGCAGTTGATCAATAGTCAGTTCATCATGGAGCATCTATTTAATCAGTGCTCTGTAGTGCTCTGGGCCAGAAGATACAGTGACAGCAGCAAACTGTCATCCTGTCCTCAAAGTGCCTGGGACTCCACAAAGGTGGCATCACAGGACCCAAGTGGGACCAGTCAGGACTGAGAAACTTATAGCAGAAAGGGTTCCCTGGGGACTTGAGTAGCCTGGGTCTCCCAGGAAGGGTAGTGGACAGGTGGAGAGGTGAGGGGTCCGTGTGGTGGTGGCCCAGGCTCCTGACCAGTGTGGCTCATTCTTCTTGCCTTGAGTGTTCTCCCTTGCTGATGGCATTTACTTCCTTGGCTCCAAAACTCATCACTGTGCCGAGGACCTCACTCCTGGACTGCAGGCCCCTGCTTTGGATGCCTCTCTGCCTGGGAGACCCACAGCATCTTGAACTCAGCATGTGACTAACAAGCCCTCCACTTCCCACCACAGCATCCCCTTCCACATCCAGACACCCGATGACGAGCCCAGCCCTTCGCCCTCTAAACCTCAKTGTCATCTTGGACACCTTCTCCTCTCCTTCCCAATTAGTTCCCAGATTCTGGGGTCTACATAAAGTAGTCAGCCCCTCAGCATGGTCTGTTCCCTTCCTCTGCCACTGCTCTGGCCTCCCATTTCCTGCTGTCTGTTGGGCCCTGCCYATTGCCAAATCCACCCAGCCTTCAGAGGCTGATACTAGCCCCCTTCTCTAGTGAAACTCTCAGACCTCTCCACATTCCACAGTCCTTTGAGTCACTTCTATCACAGCCGGTGCTAAAATCCTTTCTCTCCCGAGTCCCTTCTCAACTTGGATCCTAGGGAAATGCTTGGCACACAGTGTACGTTGACCCCTCCCTATGGCCCTGACTTCCTGGCACATGGTCCTCTCTCTGCATTCCCTGTCATCTCCCTATCTGAACAAAACCTGCATTTTCCTGCAGGCTTCTGGGAGTACCAGTCAGAAATGTGTCAGCTCTCACCCACACCGTGCATCTGCCTTGGGTGTGTAGAAGGGCTCTTCTGTTAAGCAGTGTTTTCACACATACAAAGTTATTTTGTTCCTTGAGGGAAATGGATATATTGTCCTAACTCAAGTTCCCTTGCCRGGAACTCAGCCCAGTGGGCTGGTGTAGAAGCAGCAGCACTGGAACCCACAGGAACTCCCCCAGCTACCCAAAGTGGCCATCCCAGCCCATTGTGGGTGGGGGTCTAGGTCTGAAGATGGGGGTGAGCTCAAATGGTGAGACAGGGAGGCCAGGCCCAGCCAAGTGGGGTATTCAAGCTGGCCATGGGCAGATGGCTCGGGCTTAGATGGGCAGCCCAGCCTCAKCTTGGAGCTGGAGCATGGGACAGTGGCACAGAAGCCCAGTGGTCAGCTGGGCCAGTGAGGTTTGGTGTGGGGTTGCCCAGGGCTTCCCCTTAACATCAGGCCTTTAGGAGGACAAATCCATGCCAGGCCCTACCAGTCATAGATCCCAGCTGCAGGACTTGGGGAAGAGCCAGGCATGCTCCAATGCGWGGGTGCTGGCTGTCCTCGCTCCTC